ATATCAAATAATGATTTTGGCATAAATGAAAACCGTATAACCGCGCTAGCGCAAAAAATAGCACGTTAAAGCAACAAAAAATCATATCACTACTATGACTATTTAAATAACAAAAATCATATCACTACTATGATTATTTAAAAATTTACAAGACGTTTATATGTTCATTGCACACAATTTGCACATGTATCAACTCCAAAACATCCTTCGCATGCCCACTGATTGCAATTTAAACATTTAAGCCAATCTTCACTTGCTTCTGCCCAAACAGCTGCACAAACACAACAAAAGTCTTTATCAGTGTTATTTTTTAGAATAAAACTTGAAGAACTTGGGTGATCAGAATCAGCTGAAAAAAAAGTCTTTTTTGATTTGGTTTTAACTGATTTATCGTGATCCTTTTTTGACTTCTGTTTAACACTGACCACATTTTTTATTGCAGCCTTTTTAGCAGGAGGCTCTTTTATTAACTTAACATTACCTGGTGATGTAATAAGAGCAATGTGGCGTTTTGAATGAGTAGGTTTCCTTTTTTTTTCAGGAGAAGGTATAATAGTCCTTAAAATAGATAAATTTTGGTCTCCCTGGTGAATTGTTGCTTTATTAAAAACCTCTGCTTTTTTATATTCGAAATCTTTTACTGGGTTTCTTAGGGGATGCAAACCACAATGGTAAAACGCATTAACAATCAATCCTCTTTTTGTAAGTATATTTGGCCATATTTTGTTAAAAATAATGTGAAAGTTGCAACGAGGCAAAGATATATCATCATTTTCAGCTAAGTAATTAGACAAGGCTTCAGACCACATATGTTTAACTACTTTATTAACATGTGTGTCAAGTGGTTGAAGGCGATGTGTACTATGAGGTGGAATGCATATTATTTCAATATCCATCTTTATTGCTAATTCAATCGCTTCAATAGTCACATGACTTTTGTGGCCATCCAAAAATAACAATACTTTTTTCCCATTCACTTTTGTACAAAACTCATTAAAATGATGTAAATAAGCAATAAAAATCTCTTGATCAATATATCCACTTTGACTACAATGCACTTTTGTAGCCAAAGGAAATTTAGATGCATCTGGAATCTTTGTTCCCTTAAATATGAAAAATAGTGGTAAGCTGTCTCCTGCTGCATTAACAGTGGCCAGGTATGTTGTTAGTGTGCCACGTTCACCAATAGTTAACTTTTGTACCTGATGAAAACCCTTTAATGCTATTACCTTAACAGAGACATTTGGCACAGATGAAAGGCCAGTTTCATCACAGTTATAAATCAAATTTGGATAATTTTTTATGTCAAGCTGTTCATAAAAAGGTTGTAAATCGTTAAAAAATGTCTGAACGCGATTCTCATTAAATGCTTCTGCTCTTGCTCGAGAAAGCCCTTCAGGAATTCTTAGTGTCAACTGAGTATGCCTTTTTCGGAATGAGAGAAACCAATCACGTGATGCCAAACATTTATTATGCCAACTTTTTGGAATGGACTTCTGTAATAAATGACGTCTACACAAGCTTTTAGCATAGAAATAAGCAGCAGATCTTAACCATATTATTGTGAGAGGAAACCCTCTATCAGCCATATATAGCAGCCTTTGAACAAGAGTTTCTTCTTGATTTTTAAAGAAAATTGTTTTACCACCTATAGAATGTGTTTGATGTTTTCCCCGTAATTTATCAATCAACGTTGTACGTGGAATATTAAATTGTTTTGCTGCAGTTGATATAGTTTCTCCATCTATAATGGTTTGCAGAGCAGCCTGAAAAATTTCTGCATTATAATTTTTTTGTCGCTTTGGTTTATAATTACGTACCATCTATACATTTTAACATAAAAAATAATGTTATTAAAATCTACCATAAGTAATAATACATTCTTAGTTTTTTTTATATTGGTATATATATAAATAAATATATATATATACAATATGTATATATATATATATATATATATATATATATATATATATATACACAAAATATATATATATATATATATATATATATATATATATATATATATATATATATATAAATGCTTTATATTTTCCAATGAATGATACATTTGTTTATAATAAATACTACAAAAAATACTTATAACAGATATTTTATACTGTACACACATTTTATACTATATACTTACTATTTACTTTTTACAATATATAATAGTTATACTAAATAGTATAATATTATATATATTTTTTAAAATAGAATAAGATCTTTGCTATATAATATATAATAAAAGTCTTATTTTAATGTAAAATTAGTAAATAATATTAACTATTCTAATAATATTTATTGAATTTTAATAATATTTTAACAATATTTAATACTTATACATATTTTAAATATGTATAAAAATAGGCAGTGGATTGCCTAAAAATATATAACATATATGTTTTATATACTTATTATTTACTGTATATATATTTCAGACTATACATTATAATAAGTTTGTTTACATGTTTCACATCAAAGTCGTGTTTATAATTAAAACTTCAAAAAGTTTTAAAAGCTAACTGTAAATTAATATATTCTGAAGAGCCTTTCTCTTATAAATGTCTAAAGCTTTGGAGCGCATTTTGATCAC